CCCTTAGTCCCTTTAGTCCCCTTAGTCCCTTAGTCCCTTTAGTCCCTGTAGTCCCCTTAGTCCCTGTAGTCCCTTTAGTCCCTGTAGTCCCTTAGTCCCTGTAGTCCCTGTAGTCCCCTTAGTCCCTGTAGTCCCCTTAGTCCCTTTAGTCCCCTTAGTCCCTTAGTCCCTTTAGTCCCTGTAGTCCCCTTAGTCCCTGTAGTCCCTTAGTCCCTGTAGTCCCTTTAGTCCCTTTAGTCCCTTAGTCCCTTTAGTCCCTTTAGTCTCTTTAGTCGAGTCTATGGGCTTTTTTATTTCAAACTGAATTCCAAAATCAAAAAAACCACACCAATTTCTTCCGAATCAAACTTTTCTCGCTTGATACTACGTAGTCTCACTAAAAACCTTTAGTCCCCCCTAGTCCTGCAAAGTCCCCCTTAGTCCCCCCCACAAAAAGCTTAGTCCCCGCTTAGTCCCTTGTGCAGGGGACTAAAGCCTATAGTACACAAAACCACAAGCACACCCTCACTCTCACTCGCGCGCCCACACCCGCACCATGGGTGTGGGTGTGTGTGTGGGTCCCAGACCAACACCCACACCCCCAGTCACCCCCCTCCCTCACTCCTAGACTCACGTTTCAGTTTGAAATCAAGTATTATTTTTATTTGATAAATTCAGACTGAAATTAAATAGCCCATAGTATGCTTTAGTCCCTGTAGCCCCCTTAGTCCCTGTAGTCCCTTAGTCCCTGTAGTCCCTTTAGTCCCTTTAGCTCCCTTAGTCCCTTAGTCCCTGTAGTCCCCTTAGTCCCTGTAGTCCCTTAGTCCCTGTAGTCCCTTTAGTCTCTTTAGTCCCTGTAGTCCCTTTAGTCCCTGTAGTCCCTTTAGTCCCTGTAGTCCCTTTAGCTCCCTTAGTCCCTTAGTCCCTGTAGTCCCTGTAGTCCCCTTAGTCCCTGTAGTCCCTTTAGTCCCTTAGTCCCTGTAGTCCCTTTAGTCCCTGTAGTCCCTTTAGTCCCTTTAGTCCCTGTAGTCCCTTTAGTCCCTTAGTCCCTGTAGTCCCTTAGTCTCTTAGTCCCTTAGTCCCTTATTTCAATTTGAAATCAAGTGCTCTTTTTTTTGTTTAAATTCAGAATGAAATTAAATAACCCATAGTATGCTTGTTGGATCACTTTACATAGTTTCATTATTTAAACAATATCATTTGTCATGTTTAACTAGAACCATCATAGAAATATGTTTACGAAATCTAATGAAATAACAATCATAATGAGTGTTAATTTTTGAAAATCTCAACTATCCTGATTTTCGATCTCTTCTAGGAAAAAAATCATTCGAATAAATATTTTTAACTTTAGTTGAGATTGGAATAGGAGTTTTTGATTTTGTTAGAAAAGATATTTTCAAGATAGTTATCACTTTTTTTTGTGAAAATCAATAAATGAATTTTTTGTGAGTGCGACGATATGAAGAGATGGGAATGTTGAATGCCTGGTTAAGTTTCAATATTAGATAAAATAATATTTTCATCATCAGTTAGAAAATTTTGTGAATTTTTATAATAGTCTAAACATCGGGATATTGAATGATTGGTGAAGTTTTAATAATAGATAAAATAAGTTTTTTCATTTTCAATGAGAAAATTTCATCAAGGTCGAAAGAGAAGATGAAATTGTACAATTATTTTTATTCTGTTTCAAAATAGCTTTTCCAACCGAATCTTTATAACTTTTCTCAAGCAGATCTTTGAAAAAATGATAGAAAATTGTAGATTTATTATCAGTCTGTTTCAGAACAGCTTTTATTATAACCAAATCCTTATAATTTTTTCAGAGCATGTGATTGGAAGACGAACAGAGATAGAGAAGATTGTGCAAATTGTTTTCAATCTGTATCAAACTAATGTCGGTTTTTTTTAAAAATAGCCTCCACCATTTTTTGAATAACTCTCGATCGCTTATAGCTATCGAGCTTGGATTTTCACAATTAGACAGAGCAAGTGAGGAAACATCTATCTATATAAAATTCATAAGGTTCGAATAAGTTTTTCATGAATGTTTTTGAACGAACATCTTTTTCGTTGTCCATTTCCATGAGTTTTCATAGCAATCTACATTCAAATTATACCAAATTCTGGTCCAAAACGACCATTATTCCTGGTAAAATTTTCGTATTTTAAAACTATAGCTTTGAAGTATTGGTTCAAATAAACTATAGAGAGATTTTAAAATTTTATCAGAAATAAAGGTCATTTTGGACCAGAATTTGGTATAATTTAAGTGTAGATTGCTATGAAAACTCATGAAAGTGGACAATGAAAAAGATGTTCATTCAAAAACATTCATGAAAAACTTATTCGAACCTTATGAATTTTATATAGATAGATGTCCCCTCACTTGCTCTTTCTAATGGCAAAAATCCAAGCTCGATAGCTATAAGCGATCGAGAGTTATTCAAAAAATGGTGGAGGCTATTTTAAAAAAATTCGACATTAGCTTTCATAACCGTACCACTATGATATGTCTAGAACAGGAGGAGCAACTGTACAAGTATTCTCAATCTACTATGGAATTAGCTCTTACAACTAAGTATTTGTGAAAGATTTTGTCTATTATTGAAACATAACGAAAAAAATCTGCACATTAAGATGTTTTGTTTCTTGTGTTTAACAGAACCTTATTTAGTGAACTTCTGGCCAAATAAATTATAAACAAAACAAATTAATTCGTAATTTTGTGCCTAATTTAAAACGAATTCTGCCTAAGTTTTATTTTGCCTGTGACATATACAAAAGGAACGACTCACAGAAATAAGAGAAAAAAAGACATTCCATAGAGAGAAACAATGTCGACGAAAGCATGAAAGAGAAGAACATATTGGAATCTTCAATACCCACCGATTGTGTTACGTAACAAGATCTAACTAAAGGATCATGTAAGATTCTTGCAATATGATCTTCTGGTTTTGGGATTTTCTTACAGAATTTTATAGATTTCCGTAAGATCCTATAGCAGCCTAATGGTAGAAGCTTATAGAATCTTGCAAAAATCCTATAGGATCCTACGGTAGGATTGTTTTATCTGGATATAGACGAGTTTCCACAAATCAACCACGAAAGAAAATAAAACACTTGACGCACAAAACTTATCCAATTGTTAATGTACGGTTTATACTGAGATTATCACCTTTTTTCCAAACAATGTTTCAAGTAAAAGCTTCTATACCAAAATACCTTCGATCAGATATCATCTGTTCTATAAAATGTAGTAACTGAGATCAAAGTTATATGGGAAAAACTGAGTATCACACTACCAGAAGATTATGTGAACCTGAAACTGTTAAAGAAGCGTTCGGTGAATATGATAAATATACTTTAGAAGGTGAAACACTAGAAGAAGACTCAAATTCACAGCCTAAAGACTTGATTGGACTTGCACCGAAGGGTTGTCGATGAGATATCGAATGTCTTCGCACGCATTTTAGTAGAAAAGACTGAATGAAAAGTAGTTGCTAACGTTCATTTACAAGAGAATGTTCAGAACTGATAAATCGATTTTTAAATTTTAGGCATGCCAATTTGCAGAGTTTGTTGAGTTATTAACTGATATAATAATCACTCGAGCCAACAATGCAGCTGTAGAGTAAATTTCTGATAATCAAAGTTTGCATTAACCTGTCCATACCCTACAGTGGTCCTATAGAGGCTCTACAGGGGCTTATAAGGTCTTGTAGGGACCCTATAGGTGGCTTATAGTGTCCTATTGAGACCCTATGGAGTACCCATAGGGTTTTATAAGCCCCTATAGAGACCCTTTAAAGGCCCTATAGGACCTCTATAACACCACTATAGGGTATGGACAGTTTAATGCAAACTTTGATTATCAGAAATTTACTCTACAGCGGCATTGTTGGCTCGAATGATTATTATATCAGTTAGTAACTCAACAAGCTCTAGAAATTGGGATGACTAAAAGTTAAAAAAGAAGTTATCAGTTCTGAATGTTCTCTGGTTAGTCCCAATGTTGAATGTGAACTCGTTTGACTATCATAACTACCAGTGCAATTTCAGAGTATTAATATTGAATTTGAATAAATGACTCTCATCCTTACCCTCTGATGTCCATGCAGCAGCATAAACGAAAACAATATGACTTCTAGTGAAAAATGGTTTGTTTGTGGAAACGCGCAATTATAATATGACTAACATTGTACGAAAAGTTTTATTTTATAGAAAGTTTGAATCAAAATCGATGTATGCCTATCCCGAATTGAGAAATAAAAAACGACATAAATATGAAAAAGATTTAGTTTAAATAAGAGTATTGTAAAGCAAATCTTTGACATTTGTTTCGGCACAACAGTTCATTGTAATATTCTTTAAAGTTTAAGTTTTAAGAATAAAAAATATATTTAACATATTAATTTTTCAAATATTGAACAATCTTGAGCAAAATGACGTTTAATTATCGATCCATCTGATTTTTTAGTCCAAAAACAGCATACTTTCTTCGATCCAAAATAATTTGACGATGAAATGAATTTTTGTTTTAACTGATTGACTATACAATCTGATGGATATTGATATTTGACAGTAGCCAATGTCATATGAAAATTTCCTCCTTTTGACTGTTTTATTCGAACCCCTCGTGCAGTTATAGCCGTTTCTAAATCATGTACAATATTCCCAAGTATTAACGATGATGATTGACTTGCTCTCGTGTTTAGATAGGCTTGATGATTGTCAACATTACATCCCATATCAGTGAAATTCAATTGAAAACTTGACCATTGATAATTTTCCATAACATCTTCAATGATTTTAATCTCGGTATCATTGTAACAGTCTAAGTAAATGAGCGAACAATGTAAAGATAAAAGTGATTGTGTTTTTATAATGGATGAATCAGAGTCTTCAACATTTGCTTTAATTATTCGTTCTGCTTTAATTGCGTTGAAAAGAAAACTAAGATCTAACGTTAGTGGAATAAATGTTTGTAGAACATTTTGGGATTCAGCGGGGCAATCTTGTTTTGGATCTTGAGGACTTACATATGGTACCCAATAACAAGTTGAATAAGGTGAAAGCATTGTTACATTCGGTATATAGATAAATGGAGATTGACCTTCGGGAATTTGATACGGTGCAACAGCAGAATAATTATCAAAGCATTTTTCTACAGAAAAAGAAAAAAAATATATATATAAATTTAATCAATATTATTGAAACATGAAGTTTCTGTTTGTATTCTAATGATCAGTAGTTCAAATAGGATCATTGTTCCATTGATTTAGAGCTGTTTACTAATATTTTGTCTAACGATCATTATTTTCTCCAAAACTTACTAGTTGTATAATACAGTGTCTTACACTTAACTGTTCTCGCGTACGTTTTAAAAGATCAAATAGAAATATTAATACCTGAATAATGACGTTTTTCTCGATTATGGAATACCGATTGATGACGCTGCTGTTGTTTAGATTTTCCATGGAGAATGAAGATAATTAATAATAATAATATCCATATTGAAAATTTTCGAAAAATCATGTTGTTGAACTATTATACTGTTGCCTAACTAAAATTGTAACCTTCGTTTTTCTTCTCTGATGATCAAAAAGCACCATATGGAAACAAATCGTGTCAAATATTTAATGTATAAAGAGGAAACAGATTTTTTTAATTATAAAAAACATTTAACAGGAATATTGATATTCAAGAAAGAAACGAAAATATTTGATTAATTCTATTTGCTTGTAAAAAGAAATCATTCTTGAAGAATATACTTCATATGCTTTTCTTTCACATATAGTGATGTGCAAAAGTCTTGACTTACTCTATCCTTTCAATTTGTTCGATTTTAATCAATTTTAATCAAAATTATCACTATGATTATTCTGTAACAAAATCAAAATTATAATCGATTAAAATACCATTTGGTTGTGGGTGTGAGTGTGGGTGAACAAAAGACTCACACTCACACCGCACATTCTCACCCCAACATGAGAGTATTAATTGCAAGCGAATTGGAATAATCTCACCGTCATTCTCGTACTAATCAGTCGACATTCTATTGAGAAGCCTTCATTTATAGCATGATGCATGATTGTTGTTGCCATCCAATGATGAGGTTTGAATTTTTTTTCGGAGAAATATTTGAAAATCATTCACACGAGGAAAATGGAGTACAGCCTAAAGTAGGAAAGATGCTTTATGAATGAAGTTATTCATGCAATATAACTCATCAGAGGTAGATGTAAATATAAAGCCAAGTATGCATCTACATTCATTAAGTTTTTCTTGTAGAAAAATCGTTCAAACGTCCAACGAATACATATCAGGTAAAGCAGTCTACAGGTATGTGAGATCCTTGTGATGAGGAATGATATGACGGTTTTATAGTAAACATGTTTTTATTACATAAGAACTCTCGAAAAGGGAAATGGTTAAGAATATATTTCGATTCACTTTGGTTTTGAAACTTAAGTCTTATCTTTTGGAAATTGCACTCTTTATTTTATTATCTGTCTTTTAAGTCATATGATATATCAGCTATTGCAGTAAGTTAAGACCAAAATTTGCACAGTCGAACAGTGGAACACATCTATACAATTTTCTTTCACTTTTCAAGCATGCATTAGGATAAAACGATAAGGTTTTGTGATACCACATACTCAATTATCTTGACAAGTCTTTCGATGTTTGAGACTGTACAACTTTTGGTTCGACAAAGATTATTATTTTTTCTCGTCTCACCGCAGAAAACTACAAAGTAAGATTCTCTTTGATCCTCATAATCGTTTCTGTTCCGGTAGTTTTCATTTATTTGTTCTGAATCTCAGATCCCGTGATTCCAAACAGATAGTAATTTCCAGAAAAACTCTTTTTTCTGTTTTCTGGAAAGTGCGGACGCGTATCTCGTTTTCAGTGATCTTTGAGTGTTAGAGTATTGATATAAAAGTAGAATATTCGTTACTCTCTGGGACCAATAGTTTTTACAGTCGGTCTCAGTTCAAGAAATGCTCCAACAATGTCGTTCAGATTTCTCTTTTCTCTAATCTCTTGATATCAGCTATTGACAAGAATGAAATATTGGTGCAAGTTTTCTCGTCGCCATCGACCAGTTTCTGAATAAAACATCTTCACTGATAGAAATATCTGCTACTACTCGCTCGTGTACAACTCACGTTCTACACCTTCAGAAGGAATTTTCACACTGTCTGAAAGTTTTCATGATATTAGGGAATGATGTTTTTTTATTTTGCTTGAGAATACAAATATTTGAAAAACTCATCGAATTAACAAAGCTCATAAAATTGATCTACTGAGTGTTTAGCATTTTAAATAGAAATCTAAGATTAAATTTTCATGGAAGCTTTCAATCAGTCATTTTTTTCTGTAATAGTATCGAGGTGTTATTTCTTCTCATAAAGATATTTTCAAACATTGTGTATACACTGTGCACTACCTTTCTTATCAAAACCTAAATATAATGTAAAGAAAAGAACAGAAAGTATTATTGAAAAGTAGCGATAACTGCATGCTATGCTGGTACACTTCAACCGTATACTAAGCTTTAGAATACTTTTGGTTTTCTACTAGTGTACAACTCAAAAACTAATAAATTTTTCTAACAAAATCGACATTTTCAACTAGTTTTATGTAAAAATTTTTAAATCCGGAATATCAACCGAAATGGTTTGTTCCGAAACATTTCAAATTTTCATACTTGAGAAATAGCTTTGATATTCGAAAAGTACACGATCATTGTGGATCCAAATAACACTAACAATTTCATGATTTTTAAAAACTGCTTCATTTTATGGCGATCGTTTATTGCATTCTGCAAAGAGTTGCTTCACAGCTCTTGCAAATACATGAAATCTTTCCACTCTAGACGAGCACTTTTTCCTCAAAGACAGTCGCGTAAATATAAGAGCTAGTTCATATATCCAAAAAACTATTTCTGTCATCGCCACTGAAAATATTATTACCAAACACCCCTGTTGTAGCCAGACATTCCACCATTTATTTCCTCTACAATATATATCAAAATTAATTCGGTCAGTCTAACTCATAAAGAACGGTTTTCAGTAAACGCCCACAGCTTACATAAGGGTGTGGGTTCGAGAGTAAAGAAAAGAATACGCAAATTCGCACCCACACCCATACCCTTCATATGATGTAGTAGATGGTTCGACGTGGCACATTTTCTGCCAAAAAATGGTTTATAGTAACAGCTGTTTTTTGATTTGCGATAGTAGTGTAGTGTTGTACAATACGCTTTGCAAGATGTTCTCGATCAGTACGAGTCATTTTTATCTAAAAAACAAATATATGCGATCAATTAGCATGAAATGAAAAATCTTAATATAGTCCATCTAAATAGTGGGTATTGAAAAAAGTCTCCTTTTAATAAGAAAAAAAAGATCAAACATGTTTATGCCAAGACTTTCTCACAGTAGGTTAATTAGGATACTTGTTTTTCAAAATATCTGTTCGTTACGCTTTCACAGCTCGTTAACAAATATTCTTTTTAAAATTGATTTTCTTTATCCAATAGATGTTGCCTGGCCATACTGTTTGCCATTCTGCTAGATTGAGCTCATTGCAATTTGGATATGTTGCCACATAGTCCCGTCGTGTAAAAAAGTCTATCATAGATTGATATCGTTTTTGGTATCTCTTCCTAAAACCGTGTCCCCACTCCATCATAACGAGTTGTATATCAATAAGTTCAAAAACTTTCGATCCAGTCTCGCACAAATAAACTTCTGATCCTTCAATGTCCATTTTAATAACAACAGACTGGACTCGTTTTTCGATCAGTATTGGAAGCAGGTCATCAAATCGAATTGTCTGCACAATGTATTTATTAGTTAAATTCTCCCGCGTCGTTTTACCTAACTCTATAGCAGATTGTTGGTTATGTGACAGTGTCACGTATTCGCCAGATTGTGAATACAGTGCATTGTGAACGAGAATAATACGATTTTGCACTCTTTCAATTTGCACTGCTCGGGCGATATGTTCGATATTTGGCAGAAAGCAATCAACCGCCAGTGTAAAACGACCTAGAGCCCCAGCAGTGTACATTGTGTAACTCCCAATATTAGCTCCAATATCGATCATGTCCAGAAAAGGGTTCCGAATAAGAATACGTAATAGACGCGTTACATATTCTTCGTCCCATATA